CCCCAACCCCAACCCCAACCCCAACCCCAACCCCAACCCCAAACCCAAACCCAAACCCAAACCCAAACCCAAACCCAATTTTAACTAATTTATATAAATTTTTATTTTGGTTTTGAAAATTTAATTTCAGCATTATACATTACTACTATAATACTTTATTGTCCTATATAATAATCTTCACATTTAAGTAACAAATTTAAACATTCAGAGAAGTCTGATTTAGAGTGCAATCATTAAAGTTATAATTTACTTGCAAATGAGTTGTAAATGTATAAAATTATTAATTAATTAAATGTCATTTACATTCTTATTTAGTTGAATGTAATCGGCATTAATCTACTATTTTGTACTCTTTGATAGTTTGTTTTCTATCAAACCTTGAGTTAACTATATTTATTGTAAATTATTCCTATTATATTGTATTCAAACTAAATTGATATTTTGAGCATGGTTCATTATTTATAATTAAATTTCTAGCAGAAAAACAGGGTCTCGTTTCATTAAATTTATTTTCAACTCACAATACCTTATATGATATTTTTAATTTCTACATTTTTTTAATTCTTACAATCCAATTGCTATAAAATTTTTCTATCTTATTAGATATTAACTGTGAATCCTTAAAAAATATTTGCTCTTTTGGAATCTTAAATTTTTTTAAATCATAAAACCCTTAATGAATATCATAATATTCTGTATTTCAATATTATCACATTAGTAAAAAAACAGATTTTTAGACTAATGGATTCCAAAAGCAATGTCTATTTAATTATTAATAATGCATTATGTCTTTGAATATTGACAAAATGCCACAGATTCCCTCCATCAATATTCATCAACAACAAACCATATTTTTACTAAATAAATTATCAAAATAATTTCGTTTACTTAAATTTTTAGAAATTATGTATTGGAAAGCTATCTGTTTGGGTTGAATATATTAATTATCAGAGTATCAATAAATGATAGCTCAAATTTTTATTTATCTTTCTCATAGTTTCAGATTAAAAGAATATACAAGAAATAGTAGAAAATAAAATTGTTATAACATTAGTAAAAAAAGTATGAAGGAATCATAAATACAATTATTAATTCTGTTTATGTCCATATTTGGATTGTATTTTTAATTATTTAAATGATAATTTTAACTTAATCTTGAACATTGTAAAATATTAAACATATTACCTCAAGAAATTTTACAAGAGAAGCTCATGTTCTAAAAAAATGTTGATTTTCAAACTTTTTTCATAAAACAGTAAATAATATTTATCTATGTATCAAAATATAATATATAATTTGGATCTCTTTATAAATGACCATAAAAGAGGCATGTCATTAATTTTAATTTTTATTTAATGTTTTCAAAAATAATAGCGTGATCATTTCCTTATTAAATAATTAATTCAAAAAGATCTATTTATATAGTAATTCTTCACCTCTTATAACTAGATAATGACCCAAGATTATCAATCATGAGTATAAACTTAAAGTCTATAAATATATCGTTATGAATCTTAAAAATAGAAAAATAGAATAATTATATTTTTAATTTATTTAACACATTCATCTTAAAATAATAAATTCTATTTTATTTAAAATTTATTAAGATTTGTCTGTATTAATCCTTTCAAAGTAATTGTGTTAATATATTAAAATTTTGAATATAAATAACAAAGTCCTTTTTGAGAGAATTAAACATATGTAATGTGCAAAATTATGAATGAATAAAATCACAATTCATTCTCAATTCTTAATAGTAAATATTCCTTTGAGGCTTCATTAGCTCTTGATACTTAAAGTATTTCTAATTTAGTTTAAGAAATATTTATTATTAATTCTTTTATATTCTGTAATCTGTAGAAATGTGGCATAGTAAATTAAAGTATTGCTTTGATTTCGGCATTAATTTGAAAATTTATATTATTCCTAATTACATGAATCACAATTTCTGAAAAAGCTTTTAACTATCTATTTTTCCTAGCATTTGACTTAAATTTAAAAAGTAATAGAGGAAACAGCCTCATCAATAATAAATTAGTTTTCACCAATATCTTCAATAATTTGGGCTATTTCATCACTTTATATTTTAAATGAATTCATGGAATCAACTAAATCTATTTATTAATTAAAATATTGAGTAATTCGAACTTGTGAGCATTCTAAAGGAGAAGCTTATTAAATAAATAATATATTTACGAATACAACCAATATCTATAAGTATCCATCCATTTGAACATTTAACTATAAAAAAATCAAAAGATTAAACTCCCCAATATGCTAAATCATTGATTAAATTTTCAGTTTTCATAGATAAATTAATTGTCTTTGCTTAATTGAATAAGAGTGTATCAATATTAGTAATTTTAACTTTCTATGATTAACATTTGCTAAATATAAAATTGTCAGAAAGAATTGGGATTTAAAAGATAGGTTTATCATCGATCATTATAATAAATTATTCATTTTGCCATTCACCTATTGTCCATAATTTGAACAATATTTTAATTTTATAATGAGATGGTATAGATTCTATTATTTTATATATTTTAGATCCTTTTTGTAAATTAAATCCACCAACAATTTTAATACCAACACATTCACTTATTGTAAGTGGTTAATTATTATTCATCTGCCATCCATCAGAAGTAATTAATGTAGTATTCCAATATGATGCAACCCTCATCCAAATAGAACATAATGATGTATTATCTGTACAGAATACACAATCCTTAGCGCATTCTTAAATTTCGATTCTTATACCTGAAACTCCCCATGATTCCTAAAATTATTAAATTTATTACATTAATAGCAGGTTCATCTAAGGTCGAAGTCATTATGAGAACTAAAGATTAGGAATTGTGATTTGCTAAGCTAATATTAAACATAATATTTTCATCTAAAGAATCAATATTACTCATTTCACCACATATTTACATTCCTTCAAGTCCAGAAAATGACCTTTAAGTAACATCATTATCAAATACTATTATCATAGTCTCATTTTCCCAACTATCAATTCAAAATTTCAATAAATATAATACTTCCAAAAATTTAGAGTTATTTTTAAAGAATAATGAGGTGGAAGTGTATATTATGTAGAAATTATGGTATACTATCCAAAAACTGAAACTCCTCCTATTAATAGTGTTTCTCCACATAAGCTATGTGGACCACCATAATAAGTATATGCATTCAAATCTAATTTTAAAATATTATTAACTAGTATCAGAACTTATAATTTTCCATTATTCCTACGATTCTGCTAAGGAAAACATAAAGGGAATATAAAAGAATATTATTTTCATTAATTTTATTAATGTTAAGATTTTTCAATTTAAACATATATTTCGAATATCATATAATAGAATCTAAAAGCTAATTATAAATGTCTTACAGAAAAAAGAACTCATGACTATCAAATTTTTAATCATTTATAAACATATTAATCAAATTAATCAAATGTTGCTATAACTTATTTTCAAAATCCAAGCATAAGCATAACAATTATTTCAATATCTAATTGTTATTTCTAGAGTACTCTTAAATTTAATATCAATTTTTAGTAATTTCATTTGCTTCAAAAAAGTCATTCTCCTTCTATTATTATAAAATTTATAAATATATGTCAAATTTAATAAACCATACAAAATAGTAAAAAATATTCAAACTTATCTCAGAAAATAGAACTATTTTAATTAAACATTTATTGAATAGTTCATTATCTAAAATCTCAAATTATAAAGGTTTGACTATACTTNATACTTAAAGTATTTCTAATTTAGTTTAAGAAATATTTATTATTAATTCTTTTATATTCTGTAATCTGTAGAAATGTGGCATAGTAAATTAAAGTATTGCTTTGATTTCGGCATTAATTTGAAAATTTATATTATTCCTAATTACATGAATCACAATTTCTGAAAAAGCTTTTAACTATCTATTTTTCCTAGCATTTGACTTAAATTTAAAAAGTAATAGAGGAAACAGCCTCATCAATAATAAATTAGTTTTCACCAATATCTTCAATAATTTGGGCTATTTCATCACTTTATATTTTAAATGAATTCATGGAATCAACTAAATCTATTTATTAATTAAAATATTGAGTAATTCGAACTTGTGAGCATTCTAAAGGAGAAGCTTATTAAATAAATAATATATTTACGAATACAACCAATATCTATAAGTATCCATCCATTTGAACATTTAACTATAAAAAAATCAAAAGATTAAACTCCCCAATATGCTAAATCATTGATTAAATTTTCAGTTTTCATAGATAAATTAATTGTCTTTGCTTAATTGAATAAGAGTGTATCAATATTAGTAATTTTAACTTTCTATGATTAACATTTGCTAAATATAAAATTGTCAGAAAGAATTGGGATTTAAAAGATAGGTTTATCATCGATCATTATAATAAATTATTCATTTTGCCATTCACCTATTGTCCATAATTTGAACAATATTTTAATTTTATAATGAGATGGTATAGATTCTATTATTTTATATATTTTAGATCCTTTTTGTAAATTAAATCCACCAACAATTTTAATACCAACACATTCACTTATTGTAAGTGGTTAATTATTATTCATCTGCCATCCATCAGAAGTAATTAATGTAGTATTCCAATATGATGCAACCCTCATCCAAATAGAACATAATGATGTATTATCTGTACAGAATACACAATCCTTAGCGCATTCTTAAATTTCGATTCTTATACCTGAAACTCCCCATGATTCCTAAAATTATTAAATTTATTACATTAATAGCAGGTTCATCTAAGGTCGAAGTCATTATGAGAACTAAAGATTAGGAATTGTGATTTGCTAAGCTAATATTAAACATAATATTTTCATCTAAAGAATCAATATTACTCATTTCACCACATATTTACATTCCTTCAAGTCCAGAAAATGACCTTTAAGTAACATCATTATCAAATACTATTATCATAGTCTCATTTTCCCAACTATCAATTCAAAATTTCAATAAATATAATACTTCCAAAAATTTAGAGTTATTTTTAAAGAATAATGAGGTGGAAGTGTATATTATGTAGAAATTATGGTATACTATCCAAAAACTGAAACTCCTCCTATTAATAGTGTTTCTCCACATAAGCTATGTGGACCACCATAATAAGTATATGCATTCAAATCTAATTTTAAAATATTATTAACTAGTATCAGAACTTATAATTTTCCATTATTCCTACGATTCTGCTAAGGAAAACATAAAGGGAATATAAAAGAATATTATTTTCATTAATTTTATTAATGTTAAGATTTTTCAATTTAAACATATATTTCGAATATCATATAATAGAATCTAAAAGCTAATTATAAATGTCTTACAGAAAAAAGAACTCATGACTATCAAATTTTTAATCATTTATAAACATATTAATCAAATTAATCAAATGTTGCTATAACTTATTTTCAAAATCCAAGCATAAGCATAACAATTATTTCAATATCTAATTGTTATTTCTAGAGTACTCTTAAATTTAATATCAATTTTTAGTAATTTCATTTGCTTCAAAAAAGTCATTCTCCTTCTATTATTATAAAATTTATAAATATATGTCAAATTTAATAAACCATACAAAATAGTAAAAAATATTCAAACTTATCTCAGAAAATAGAACTATTTTAATTAAACATTTATTGAATAGTTCATTATCTAAAATCTCAAATTATAAAGGTTTGACTATACTTAAAAAGATTAATTCTTAGTCTAAATAAAATAGATAAAACATCCTTTATCCACTTAACTTATAGATAAAATAAATGCCAATCAAATTCTTATGATTCTTTAAACTAAATCCAAGTAATTATTAAATCAAAAAATAGAGATAATGAAAATCAGCTTCCTGATTTAATTACCATACAGAAGCATATTATTTTTAGATTCAAAAAATTTTATAATACCAAAATAAAAACAATAGACTCTTTTATTGATAAATTTATATCTTTATAGTAATACAGATATTAATTTTTTATCTCATTAATTACATAGAGTAAATATATTAGTAAATTTATTAATAATTATTTAATTTAATTTTTTTTTTTTTAATAAATATTCTATAACACTAATACAAAATTATGAAAACTAATAATTTAAAATTTAGTATATTTTAAATTTAAATTAAGCTAAGGATTATAATTTTAGCAAATTTTGATTGGATAAACTTAGTTAAAAATTAATTTATTGTTCTTAAATTAAGGAAAATTTAGAATATTTAAAAAAGTAATCATGCTCTACTATGAGAATAGAATAAATTATAAATAGCAGAAATTTTATTTTTTTTTTTAAATATAGTCTTTTTAATAATTAGTTCCCTACAAAATTTCAAAACTTTAAAAGATAACATTATATTATATTTATCAAAGTCTTTTCAATAAAAAATAATTAATATTTCTTGGAGATTACATAGAAATTAGGAAACCTGCTTTGAGAGATAGAAGTTATGTCATTTTTATTAAAACCAATTATTTTAATCCTAATAATTTTCAAATTTTATTAGTTATGATTAAAAAATTTTTATTAAGTTTTGCTAAATAGAATTATTTTTATTGTAAGAGCAATTTGAATTTTTCTGACCAATTCTAACTGACTTCATACTCATTTCAAATTAACTATAACTATTGTGATTTAAGTTAGCATAATAGAGTATATGCATATACATTTATAATTTAAAATAGTATAAACTTATAAAAATAAAATATACTTCTTCCAATTTATTTTAAAATTCTCTTGGTTAAAAGATAATACACATAAACATACCATTATATTAAATCTAATGTTATGATGTAAATCTATGACATATATTTATGTTTCCTTCTCCATTATAAAGTCAAATTAAATAACTCAAATATTAAGAGCAAATTCTAATAATCTACTGATATAAATGGAATTCTCAAAACTATTTTTCTTAAGTTCAAAGCATTTAGTACTTACTTATGAATCATTTTAAAATGGTAGAACCTAAAAATGAAAATTACCCTATATTTATAATTTTAACTTATTAATATGTTTAATCAAGTTTATAAATATTGTAATTTTTTCATTAATATTCAAAAAACTAAAAATTTAAGGATTTTTAAATAATATCTTATAAAAAGAAATTTTTTAATGCTGTGATTTTTATGAATTGTTCTCATGAGTTGTTTGAAAATACTTTTGAAATAATATTAATATATTAGTAAAATTANATAACACTAATACAAAATTATGAAAACTAATAATTTAAAATTTAGTATATTTTAAATTTAAATTAAGCTAAGGATTATAATTTTAGCAAATTTTGATTGGATAAACTTAGTTAAAAATTAATTTATTGTTCTTAAATTAAGGAAAATTTAGAATATTTAAAAAAGTAATCATGCTCTACTATGAGAATAGAATAAATTATAAATAGCAGAAATTTTATTTTTTTTTTTAAATATAGTCTTTTTAATAATTAGTTCCCTACAAAATTTCAAAACTTTAAAAGATAACATTATATTATATTTATCAAAGTCTTTTCAATAAAAAATAATTAATATTTCTTGGAGATTACATAGAAATTAGGAAACCTGCTTTGAGAGATAGAAGTTATGTCATTTTTATTAAAACCAATTATTTTAATCCTAATAATTTTCAAATTTTATTAGTTATGATTAAAAAATTTTTATTAAGTTTTGCTAAATAGAATTATTTTTATTGTAAGAGCAATTTGAATTTTTCTGACCAATTCTAACTGACTTCATACTCATTTCAAATTAACTATAACTATTGTGATTTAAGTTAGCATAATAGAGTATATGCATATACATTTATAATTTAAAATAGTATAAACTTATAAAAATAAAATATACTTCTTCCAATTTATTTTAAAATTCTCTTGGTTAAAAGATAATACACATAAACATACCATTATATTAAATCTAATGTTATGATGTAAATCTATGACATATATTTATGTTTCCTTCTCCATTATAAAGTCAAATTAAATAACTCAAATATTAAGAGCAAATTCTAATAATCTACTGATATAAATGGAATTCTCAAAACTATTTTTCTTAAGTTCAAAGCATTTAGTACTTACTTATGAATCATTTTAAAATGGTAGAACCTAAAAATGAAAATTACCCTATATTTATAATTTTAACTTATTAATATGTTTAATCAAGTTTATAAATATTGTAATTTTTTCATTAATATTCAAAAAACTAAAAATTTAAGGATTTTTAAATAATATCTTATAAAAAGAAATTTTTTAATGCTGTGATTTTTATGAATTGTTCTCATGAGTTGTTTGAAAATACTTTTGAAATAATATTAATATATTAGTAAAATTAAATACAAAAATAATAAGTTTTGGTTGATAAGAAGATTATTGAATAAGCAAATGATTGATCAAATAAATTTTATATCTTCAATACTAAGTATAGTAGCTAAATTTAAATAGAATAAAAAATTAATTATAATTAAAATTATTGTAAATTTAAACTATTTATTGATATGAATGAATAATAAAAATAATAAATAATGAGATAGTGGATTTTATTTCATTTAATCATGTTGGCAATAACTAAGAGCATAAAATGCCCTATGTAAAAGAATATACAATTCAGTTAGCGGTTATTCTTCTGAGGATTTAGTAAATATTCAATAGAACTTTTAGCAACAAGGAACTTTCGAGAATTTTTTATATTTTAGGCATAGCTTAAAATGTTATATATTACAAAATTGAACCAATTCTTATTAATAGTGATTCAACTATTTCAATAAATAATAAATGTTATTCTTCAACTTCAAAACAAATTTACAAATGTGAATTAAATTGGAAGATGTACAATCTTATATCTAATTTTGAGTATTTTACTTTGGTTTTATGAAAATTTAAACTATTCCATTATCCTAGAATTCTGATGATATTTTTAGTAGGTACATAAACAATAGCATTAGTTTTTACAATTTAATTTGATTTCATTTTAATTTAATGATTTAATTATCAGAAAGATCCCAATAATTTATTCTATTATTCTCACTTCATCCTAACAATATGTTACCATCAGGTGAAAATGAAAGTAGAGGTATCTGATCACAATAAATATATATTATCAATTCATTTGAACTTATTTTATATAATCGAAAAACACTATTCCTTTAAACTTCCAATAATTATTTTTAACTAAAATATGCAGTACTTACTAAATAAGGAATAACGGGAATGTATTTATTATTGGATAATATGAATTATCATTTAATATACTTTAGTATGGACCTTTTATTTTTTAAATCTAAATAAATTAATCTTAAAGTCTAAGTTTATCATCTGAATGATATGATAATAATGATTTATTATTTCCTGAAAAATTCATAGACAGAATTTTAATATTGCTACATTCTTTATCAATTAATAACTTTAATTATTAATTAGTTTTCACTTCCAATAAAATTATTGAATTATTAATTTTATTCATTATAGCCAATAGTTTAGAATCTTTGGAAAATACAATATTACCAACTTTATTACTTAATTTAGGTTCAATTTTTAATATTACAATTGGCATTTATCATCAATCTATACTATTTAAAGTGGATTAGTTTTTACAGATGTATAAAGTTAAAATATTTATAAATAAATATTATTAAGATTTATTTTATCGTTAAAAATTACTTTTCGATTTTAGAAGACAGTATATAATATTAAGCACAAGATGAAAATAAGAATTCACACTAATATTTAGATTAATTTATTTTAAAGGTTGGATGTTTAATTTCTAAACTTTTTTTAAGTCCCATTCTATTTTAAATTATTATTAGTAAAAATTAAAGAATTTTTTAATTTGCTAAATTCTAATCTATCAAGAGTATCAAATTGCAATTTATAGTTTCTTTCAATCATATATATTGAATTAAATTTCCATATATAAAAGGTTTAATATTCTTTTGCAGCTAAATATTGACTGTCTATTGAGAAACAAAATTAATATGGAGTGAATTATTTCTAAAATTCAAAATTTAATCTTTTCATTTCTAATAATTTACATTAACTTAAGAGATCATCAGAACGAACAATCAATTATAGGCCATCAGGTGAAATTACGAGTTCTTCAATTTATTAGGAATGTCCATTCATTTCTATTTTCTCTTATTTAACAACTTTTAGATTCAATTGTAATATTAGATCTTAATTAGTTTAAGCCAGTATTCCTTATGATGAAAGTGATAGCTATTCTATTTTTTTGTTGCTTTTGAACAAATATATGAGTTTAAAAGACTATTTATCCCAAAATTTGATTGTTTAATTTGAGTATCGTGTCACAAAATTCTTTTCATCTGCAGAAAACATTATTTTTATTTCATCATAATATTTATCGATCTCCTCAATAATTTATACTACCTTCTTTGCTTGCATAAGTATACCTAAACTTTATTGTTAGTTAAGGATGATGTTTTAAATATCTCCAAATCTTAAGTCATATTATTACTCTATTATTTTTTAGAATTAAAATTAATTTGAATTAAAATTAATAGGGATTAAAAACAAATTAGATCATCTTATACAATACCAATATATTCTTTATCTGAGTTAAAATAAAATTGGATTATCTAAGTTTGTTCAGTTAACAAATCTTGTAAAATGATAAATTATTTATATCATGTAATGTTATAAAATGTTCATTAAGAACCAAAATTTATTAACTTTTATTTAAATAAGTCATTTATATAGGACTGTGAGGCAATTATATAATTGCAATTTTATTTATTTTTTCAATATCATCAATATAATAAATAATAAAATTATCTTAATATAATTCTTAAACCATTAGTGATTAATCATTTTAGCCAAATTATATGCACTTAAAGATTATATCATCAATTATAAACTTTTAATTTTTATTTTAAAATTGTAAATAACTCTAATTAGGATAAATTGTTATTGCTAAATATTAAAAATTATATGAAAACAATAACCTTGAACTCCAAAGGCACTCATATTTTTCCAAATTATTCGAATTAATTAACTATATTTCAACTTTATTAGATAAAATTAAAACAATATATTTCATATTAATAACAACTCTATCATTTTATAATTGTTTTATTTTCAATTTATTATTAAATCCAATTTCCTCTTAATTTAGTAAAGAAATTTCTGTTATTTATTAATCTTATCTGCAATATATCAATAAATTTTCTCTATTTAAAAAAATACATTGATCTAATTAACTATATTATAATTAAAAAGACCTTTATATTTCAAATGTTTAATCATTTCTTTTCCATATTGTCAAATAATTCCCAAAAGTTGCCATAATTGTACCTTCTTAATCAAAACAAAGACACATTATCCATTCCTTATCAAGAAGAATAGAAATCTTGATTTTCTTATTTATATCCCAAAGTTATATACCTAAATTAAAGTCGCCATAATTATGAAATGAAACTAATATATTAGAAATTAATAGATTTCAGCAATTCCCCATTTCTCTTATAAATTAATGGTAAAAGCATCTTAAAGCTAAGATTTATTTGAAATATCCCAAATAATTATTGTTTTATCATCATTACTTGTCGCAAATAATTATAAATCAGTTGCAATAGTAATACTGTAAATTTCTTATTGTGTCTTAATTATGCTTAAGATTTTAGAATCTTCTAAATCCCAAATTATTTTTGAACCAGCATTACAAACTGATAATAATATTTTCCCATTTGCACTCAATTTTAATTTTCTAATTTCCATACAAATCTCAGGTAGAGTTTTGATTTAATAAATTTCTGACAAATCTTGTATATCCCATATGCTGATTATTGAGTACTCCTTAAAACTATTTATTATTAACTTTTTACGATCAGGAAATATTTCTATTGCACTAATGTAGCTATCAGTATTTTAATTAAAAATTTAAAAATCAAAATAATCTTATTATTACATAATATTTTCAGATTCATATAATTTCAACTATTTTTTATTACTAAACTTCCCATTTTCTAAGAGTATTATCTTCACTTCCTGATTTTAAATATTTACCATCCTTTGTAAAAACTATACTAGTAATTAATTAAGCATGACCATTAATTTAAGGTTTATTTTTACATATTTAATTTTTCCATTCTGCATTTTCAATAGTAGCACAATTAAAATTACACATCTCTATTGAAACAATATCAAATTTTGATTAACTTAAATTACTTTAAAAAAAGTTAAGTCTCATTAAATTTTGTGTTAGAAATACATATATTGCTTACCTTTTGCATTAATCAACTTACATTTCCGTAATAAACTTTTATATTGTTATTCATCATTATTTTCATCGAAATAATATTCTACCCAAGTTGCATTTTCTTTTCCCTCATCATCTCGAGTTGATTATAAACATAATTTCCCTTTTTATACTTAATTAACTTATGTCTTTTAATTAAGCGTCATATCAATCGCTAAAAATAAAGAAAATTCATTTAAATCTATTAAACTACTCTCATAATTTATTATTTTGCCTAAATCCTTCCATTTTTATAATTGTAATGTATGATAAAAGTTTACAAATGTTTCATAAAAATCATATGCAGTAAATTAATTCATTTTGAATGCTGTAACAATAAATTTTGCGTCTTTAGTAACATTAAATGTTTTTCCAGTTAAAATTTTCGTATCTTCATAAAAATCAATTTAATGTGCAATAGAATAAAATTCAAAAAAATTTTAACTCTTTAATTCTTCTACAATCATTTCAAATTAATTTTAAATATTTTATAAATCTAACCTAGGGTTTTGCATATCTTAAATTTGTTATTGTTAAATTTCAATATTATTAATATTTTCTAATTTTTTTTTATTATTCATATTTAATAGTTCTTGATTATGATTTGAAGGATTCCATTTTCAAAAACATATAATTTTTTTTCAAAAGTTCTCTTAAGAAATTTGCTTCAGAAAATATTAAAGACATTTTAGGAAGTACATAAACAATTATTTCCATCATAAAAGGTGTGCTTAATAAATGATTAATATTAACATTCCTAATTACTTATGTAAATTTTTTATGTCCCCATAATTCAAGAAGTTCCTTTTTCAAAGATACCATTTGATCTCCTTTTATATAACTAAAAAATTCTATTTTTTAAAGTTTTGATATTAATTTTTCTATATCTTCACTTTTAAAAATCATTTCTTAATTTTTGTTTTAATTTATTATTCCTTAAACACTAAAATAAATTTGATTCCATATTGCTTTAAATTCATCTAAGCAAAAATTCTAATTTTTAATTATTTCAAAAATTCATAAAATTGCTTAATTGTTCTTTTACACTTATTTCAGTATATTATTTAAGATATTCAGCACTATTGTAATTCAACTTCTTTTAAAGTTTAATATTTTATCCATAAAACCATGTTTAATATCTAATTGATGTTAAAATCTCATTTCTTGTAGTAATTATTATTTTGACATCTTTTCCAGGTATTAAGATATTGAATTCTTAAATAAGTCGATTACTATAAAATAAATTAGTCTAAATATATTCAAACTTCATCTCATCATAACTTTCCAAAATTAAAACAATTTTTATTTTACCATTAATTACCGCTTCTTTGAATCTAAATTCTATCAAAATTATAATTTGATAATTTTAATGCTTAATCAATTAAATTATGTCTAGGATCATTTAATAATGGAAGTGAAATATAAATAGGAATCCAACTAGGTTAAATATTATCATTCATCCATAAGAATTCTTCAATATTCCTTGAAGCTCTACTCTTCCCAGAACCTGCCTTGCCATTTTAAAAGCATAACATCTTTATTTTTTTCTTCTTCTTTCCATATAAATTCATTTATTTCTCCTTCAAAATCATTATGGTTATTTTTTATTATATCTGAAAATACTGCTCCATTTGTATTTTCTATTTTTTAGCCTGAAGAAGGATCATATTCTTATGTTGTAAATTAAATATGTACCTAGTTCAGCTTATTATTTAAATTTCAATTCTTTATCTTTACAAATAAGTAATAATTCAAAATAATCTTTTCCTCTAAGCTTTCTTACATCATCTTCAATTCCTTTCACACTTTGAAGAAATTAATTAAAATTGATCTTTTTATTGTTTTCAAATCTTTATTTATTTCTATTAAAAATAAAGCTAATATCCATTTTATGTGACATCTTTGTGATATTATCCAGATAAATTTCAAAATCATCAGAAGCTTATTAAAGTTAATTTTTTGTTTCTGTTTAATTATTACTTAACAGAACCAATGTTTCTAACTATTCTAATTTTTTTAATCTTTTTTACATCTCAGTTTTTAATTAATTTGAAAAAGTTGAAAAATTCCTAGAAAATAATTTTTTTTCCATTTCTATCATTTCTTTATTTTTAAAAATTTTTCTAACACTAGTTTATTTTTCAATCATCCAAAGCTATTTCAACAAATTTGAACAAAATTCTTAAATTTTATCCTCATGTACAACTGATTGCAATTTAATCAAATTAAATGCTAAAGATTCTCTAACTTTATATGAAGAATCCTAAAAGATTTCAAGAATTTCATTTTCTTCGCTATTCTAAAAGTTTTTCTATAATTCCCTCAAAAAAGATATATATCTTTTATCATAAAAATCTCCTTAGTCTGAATTTTCTAGTATATATTCATTAAATAAATTATTATTATTAAAAATTATTTAAAGAGCCTAAATTTAATGAAATGTTTCTTCTTCAGTAAAACACTTTAACTTGTCTTTATCAAAAATAGTTTGTTGGAATAATAAAAATTTTCTAAAACATTCATTCATTTCCAATTGTATTTCTAAATGAATTTTGATATATTTCATCATTATTGCGTTCGCTATTATTTCTTTCAAAGATCTTAAATAATTTAAATGAATGTTTGAGATTTGTTATTAAATTATACTTTAAAATTTTTATGATTTTATGATTAGTTCTGTAAATATCAAATATTATTTATTCAGAATTAAATAGATCTTTTAAATTTAATATCAGATAAGTATTTTATTTATTTAATCCAGATTAATTAAAATCATCATTAATTTAAATTTATATTCCTTAATTTTCTAGTTCCTATTTGAGATTTATTTAATTTAATTCTCTGTCAAATGTTTCTATTATTTCTTATACTACTAATTCAAAATCTAATTTAAGTAATTCGCCAATCAATATTTTATTTAATGTATCAAAGAAAAATATGATATATTTTGTTTTTTAATCTTGTAAGTAATTTTTATTTTAAATTAATGTTATACATTTTTATATTTCTTTTGCTGCATTTTGCAATACTTTTGCTTACTCTTCATTAAATTTTTAATTTTTAAATTTATTGGATAAGTTAATAAAATAAGTTTTTTATTCTGTAATCATAAATTTAATAAAACTAACCAAATCCATATCAACTTAGGTTTGAAAAAATTCTATTCTAAATTTTAATTCAAAGAAGAATATTTCTGATATGTTGTAAAAGTTAAAATCTTTCCTTTTTGAGAATTAAAAAGATTTTTAAAAACATTTCAGAACTTATACAATGAAATTACAACCAATAAAACTTTTGCTAAAATGTTCAAATACTTGAAATAGTTATTCCTTTTTATTCCAATTTTATAAATAATAACAATCTAATTCATTATAAAATTTTATAATTTTTTAATAATAATTAGACATAGAAATTTTCTCATTTAAAAAGTCCTTTTCATTAGACTTTAATATTTTCAAAGAATCTATTTTTATAATTCAATAAATACCCAATCTAAAAATTTTATAATTTCGATAAATGACTCAATATACTTTTTTTCATCATATTTATTCTCTTATTTTGTAAATAGCCTTTAAGTTAAATTTTATTTATGAAGTCTATCTTGAAGTATTGATTTTGTATGACAAATTTATATCCAATATTTTAAAATGTAACTAACATTTTTATGAAAATTGTCTTGATATTTCTTTTCAATTTAACTTATAGTTGAGATCAAAGTAGTTTATAATTTTATTGATTTTATTATTTAAGTTGATAGATTGTTTTTTGAACAGAATATCCTAATTTCAGACCATTTAAGATTCTCAAAAAATAATAGACTTCATATTTTTTAAGTGGATTTTTTAAGTAATAAAAATTTACCACCTTCAATTAAGGAATCTATAAGTTCACTACTAGATTTTAATGAAGAAATAGATTAGGCAACTCCACACAAAATTGATATTATTAATTATTGACCTTTCTCAGAATTAGTTTTCAGATGAGCTGTACATATTTTAGTTAACTAGAGTTCATATTCAACTCCAGTTTTATAATTTAATGTAAACTATCAGCTATTTCATTAATATTGCTACTCCTTTTTCTATTTGATTATAAAATTGAGAATTTATTAAATCATCGTTACAAATAATTTAAAAATATTCTTTATGATTAAAAAACCATTAAAAAGCTGAAAGTACATCATCCTAACTCATTTTATCTGAAAAGAAATATGATTTTTCAGAAATATATTTTATTTACACCTAAATGTTAATCAAAACATTTTCAGGCAATTAATTTTGATTTATTCCAGTTTAATTTATTATTGTTATATAATTGCACATCCGCCTCCTCTCAAATGCTAAAAGTCATCCATTTAAATTACATACGACTATTAATTTTATGAACTTAAACTTTTTAGCAAATTTGTCGATCGTATTGGCATAATTAGTTTTTAAATAATAATTAAAAAAAAAATATATATTGATAATGAGTTTAAATAAGTTTCAATTCCTCTTACTAATTTAATTAAATATATTACAAATCTTTATTTTTTTCTTATTTTTAAATGGCAAGTAC